TTCCTTTTTGTACTGTAATTCTCTATATCTACTGTTTTGTTTTTTTGTGGGATGAAAATTGGTGGTGTGTCGAAGGTGGGTGCCATGCATGGGGGGGTGGGGGGGGGGGGGGGGTGTGCGCACCCCCTGCAACCTCCGCCCCTGAAACATGTTCACAATTTTCGGGTATTCACGAACTGAGTGAGACAAGAAAGAGGGCCAGCTAGTGACTTTATAAAGTCCTATTTATATTTATAAGCAAGGTGTTCTTGTCAAAGAAAAAGTTCTGAAGGAAAACTTGTTCAGTTTCTAACCCGTCGAACAATTTTTTCCCGCCAAATATTATTGTCAATTAGGGGTGGTTACCAAGCAAACCCGAAGAGGGTTGAAAGTAACGGCTTTGTTCGAAACTGCCACTATTGTGGCGGGCTATGATATACGATCGCTTGGGTTAGTTTCGATAATTTGCGACTAAAAGTGGATTTTTTTTTCTCGCAAGATGGCGAGGAAAACGTGTACTCCCTTCTGTGACAACAAAAAGACATGCCCAAAGCACCATGATCTTCTTTTGACCTTGATAAATTGCTCCGATAGGAAGAATCAGGAAGCGAACGCTTGTTTTGAAGAATATCAAAGCACCGTTAAAGCGTACCTGAAGAAAGGCTGGAACGTCAATGATGCAATTCCTGATCCTGTGCGAAACTACCGATTTCCACTCCTACATTGGGCGGGAGTGATGGGAAAGACGAGAGCTTTGGAATGGATGATCAATTTCGGTAGGTAATCGATTTCGTTTTGCTGACACTGTAGCTAAACCAAAACTTGGTTAAAGCAATCGAATCTAATAGATCAGAATAGATCGGCGATCGTGCAGGCCTTCCCTTGGCCTGTTCCTATCTTTATTTACACCGAATGCTGTTAGCGCGAGGGCACGCTATCTAGTTAGAAGAAAAACGTCCTCTAAACACGTCTGACTTGGAAGGCGTCGAAAAGAGGAACCGTTGTTTGACAATTTTGATGTTCGTTTATATTATAGAAAGACCAACTGCATTAACATATTTGTTGTTTACGTTGATAGTTGCTGGGTATGCAGAAAATCCCCTCACACTGGTCCGCACCAGGTAATAGGGAGGCCCCATTAGGGGGGGTCTTAATATCCCGTATCCCTGTAATTTTTTGACCAAATATCCCGTATCCCATAAATTCCGGTCACAAATATCCCGGAAATTAAAGTATCGGCCATTTTTCATATGTTACTTGCTACGACATATTTTATAATATTCGTTCACTGGCAGTAAATCGTAAACTGGAAAAGTATGGTTTTCAAGGAGCTTATTGTGACAGTTGTTTAAGCTGCTGTCAGTCAAAATATGGTAGATATCAAGTGGAAAGTAAACAAATGTTGCCACCAAAATCACTTTTGTATACCAATTAATATAATTAGCTTACCTGATGCCCTTAATTTCTACAAATCGCCTGATACCAAAGTCCTTTATTAGTTAGTGGCCGTCCCGGTGGGGGGGGGGGGGTACTCCCATACATTACCTATACGGGTATGTGCCGCCCAACGGGGTTGTGATCAGGTGGCGCTGCCTCGATCGAGTGCTGGCGCGCTATTTTAAGTACTTCATGTCACCCCCACATAGTGCCCATGATGAACCGATGACTGGTCAAACGGTTTGTTTTACACTTATATATTTTTCATTTATATCTAGTCATCAACAAAAATACAGAAAAGGGCATGTATTTAGTAATCCAAGAACGTTTCTCATCAAACATCTGATATGTTACAATTTTTTGGGAATACCCAGTATCCCTGAAACTACTTCTCAATATCCTGTATCCCAATAACTTTTTCCTCAAATATCCCGTATCCCAGTAATTTTTTCCGCGAATATCCCGTATCCCGAAAACCCCTAATGGGGCCTCAATAGGCATATAATGAAAATGCGGGCAGATCTAAACACCAGCTTAACCAATGGGAGAGTAGCAAATTGAGCACTGGAAGTTAAGTCTTTTCCTTTGACTGTTGCATCCTCATTCAACATTATGTTGACCTTGCTAGATCTGTTTAATAAGGCATGACAACAGATATACATCTGTCGAAATTTGCTAAAACGTGCCCACAAGGTTTTTGCTTGAGAATGGGTGTAGACCATGTTCAAACGAGGGTAGCTGAAAAAAATGGAGGGGCTTGCCATCGTGCCAGGTGCTGGAAGATAGTTCAGGCCCAGACATAACTGTAGGTGGGTGGGCAGCAACTCTGTGTCAAACGTCGGGGTAGTTGTGCTTGGCTGTCAAGACACCAAAGGTTGGGACACACTAGGCAACATGTTGCTGTAACACATAGGAGCAACAAATAACTCCTTGTGTTCAGGTCAGGCGACAAGTTGTGTGACACATTGCAGTGAAAAAATGCTTTGTGTGTACTGGAAAATTTTTGTGAAGATCTTTGTCTCCACAACAGAATTTTGTCACAACAAGAAGTTGCACTAATTCAATCTGATTTGATTTTGTGCAACTTGTTGTGGCAACAAAATCCTGATGCAGAGATAAAGATTTTTACAAAAATTCTCCTGTACACAACATAAGCTTATCACTCTTTGTTTGTGTGGCCATTGTTGTCACTGAAATATGAGCAGCGATCTTTTGTACTCAATAGAGGAAGTACAGATAAACATTACAGCAGCTACGATTTTCTACAAAATACAGGTTTGAACCTTAATGTTCCAGCAAAGTTTAAAAAATTTTAACTTAGTCGTTTGTCATGTTTTTTTGCTGTCCTGAGTTGTTAAATCCTCACTTTGTGAGATGATTATTTGACCAGCTGTGTAGATATAATGAAAGAGACAAGGCAGGCAACAATCACAGGTCACCTAGAATCCACTTCAAGCTGGAACTGATGCCAAACCATTGAATTTCTCAGCTCAAAAACATGATATATGTCTTCATGCCTGTGCCAAAGCTCACCTCAATCATTTTAAAATTAACCATGAAAAGTGATACTGAAGTTGTCAGAGCAGCTTTTTGAATATGATAGCACAGGCATCCCAAGCTCTTGTTACGAGTATGTTATGTAAATTTACTATTTCACAAGAGAGTCGGTGTTGCATTACAAGGAACTGTTGAGACTTTGTATGAGAAATAAAATACTGAAGTTTGCAAATGCTGAATATAATTATTTCTACTTTTTTCCTATACAATAAATAAAGGAGACGTACCTCCTATATATTCCTGTGTTTTTTGGTGTGAATTCATCAATTTAATTGGTTTTTTTTGGCTGTTACTGTGTGACTCCATGTCACTCTCTTCATCATACGAAGTAAAGGCAGCACAGAAACACAGCCGGCGGTCCAGACCTTATCTACTCGAAGGCGGTTTGCGGCCCGAAAACCCATCAAACCGCAGATTTTTTCAACAAGAAGCAAACTTCTATCATCGCTACACTGTAGTAAATGTTTAAAGGCAAAATAGACCCACGTATGTTGCTGGAAATGAGTATTTTCTCGTGCCGTGTCCAAAATACATTCTTTCTCCAGATGCTGTGATTTTGAGAGTGGACACGGCGTTGGTCCGAGGTCAAATTTCCCTCGATCAAGTTATAATATGTTTTGAAGAAACCATTTACTACTACTCACTGGCTTTTTGCAACGGCAATTTAGACATCAAGCGGGTTAAAAACAATGGAATATAATACATTCAAAGCACGTGGTTAAAAATTTGTTTGACAGTAATAAGTATTTTGCAAAAAGGGATTTCCCACAAGAAATATTCATGGCACGTGCTCTGGTGAAAAACAAAGTCGGGAAAATGTGTCTGTTCTTACCAAAATCATCCAGGCTTTGTGAATTAAAAAAAAATTATAACAGTTTCAATCTTTCATCATAAACTGTACATTACTCAAACATTAAAGCAAAGCTGGAAACTGCATTATTGTAGTGATTTGAGTTTTTTTAGTAGCTTCCATTGAGATCAGAAAGAGATTTTGTGCCAGACAGAGTACTGCACTAAATGGGCTTACATGTGTCTAACATAAATTAGCTCTACTCAAAAGAAAAAGTACAGCCTTACTTTTATTAATTTTTTAATCATTGAATAGAGTTTACAATGATGTGCCAGGTAGACAATGTTTTGAGAAATTTAAATAAAGGCTCTTTTTGCTGCAGGAGATCCATTTGCTGCAGAAAAAGTGGATCTTGTGTAATTTGTGCATCCCTTGATCAAACATTGGTTGACACTATCGGCCGATATGTCGATCAACATGTTGGCCGAGTATTGGTTGACTCTCGATCGCTGTATTGGTTGACATGTTCATCGATATGTCAGTCTACACTTGACCATATGGTGAATGGTGTATCAGCTGACACTTGACTGTGTGTTAGTGGACGTGTCGGCCAATATGGGATGGGAAGAATATTGGTAGACTGTTGGTGGAATATCGGTTGACTATCGGTGGCATATTGGTCGACTGTTGTATAATATGATATGTGTTTTAAAATGAGAATGTGGGAACTGGGTTTCAGTGTTATGTGCAAGATATTGTGGTTTGGGGGTTTGAAAATAGTTTTTGTTCTGTTGTTTGTGCCATCCCATGTCAGCCTTGCCGGGTCAACTTGTTGGATTTCTGCCATTGTTCTATGCATGTCAAATGTTAGATTGTCCTTGAATACGTCTCAAAGGTGATGATGCCATAGCGGTCCCAATTTTTTCCAAAAAAATCTCGCACACACTTGAAATTATACTCTCACATTAGGCTGGTAAAAGCTGCCAAAACCCCTTAAAGATTCCTGCATGGACAATGTAACAACAGAAATTTGAGTAGACAAAAAATATACCGTCGACTAAGTATCAGTGAAGTATTGGCCGAATTTCGGTAGCCTATTGATCGATATGTCGCCGACTGTTGCTCAACCTACTGGCAAAGCTGATCTGTCACTCAACATATTGGCCGACATGTTCATCGAGTATCAGCCAATAGTACAGCTAGTGTTGACCGATACTCAATCAAAGGGGTGTGCAAATTACACAAGATCCGAAAAAGCTACTGAAACCAATTCTGTGGAATGAAACTGTTTCAGAAATTGACTTCAGCAGCTTGACTAGCATACCTGAGGATCAACTTGGAACACCCAATATGCAAAACACGCAAAAAATGAAGAACCATTTTAAAACTTTAGGTCACCAAAAGGCGACTTTGATAAAAAATTGAGCTTGGAGCCCTGTACAAATATTTCAATAATGACAACAGCCTCATGAACAGACGGTGGTCTGCCTGTGGTACACACGAGGGGATTTGTCATCACATGTTGCTGCAACTTCTTGCCTAGTATGTTCCAGCCTTAAGGGTGCCTCACCTTTTATCAAATCCAGTCAGATATACATGTACACACCACCGGTGTGCATAAATCTTATCTTCACATGTTCTCAGTCCTTGCAAGTGAGAACAGGTGTTGTTTTTATAAAGTTAAATATATCTAACACAGTTAACAATGAGTGGCGCAGTCAGCCTTGCTTGCATCACCTCCATGTGCTCAGTACAGCGTTTTCCTGGTGGCCACTCTCTTCGTTTAGCCTATGGAATATTGTTTTACCCCCATCCGTCCCTCCCCCACTTTATTTTTCCACTGCTAAATCAGTGTGACAGGTGCCTGGTTCCATTGGTGTGGGGGCTCATGGCTGGACAGCATGGGTTTGCCAGCCATGGAGGCGTAACTCTGTCTAGGGGCTGGCTGTGCTCAAAATTGAAGCCCCTGGACATCCCGGACACTCACCTCCACTGAGTGATGCAGTTGTTTAATAATATATTTTATACTTGAATATTCTGCAGAGACACTGCAGTTTCTTATTTAGGATGGGAGACTATTAAAGAGCTTGGCTCCACTATTATTTAATGTGCTTGTAACCAGTGGTAGACAATGATCTCAGAGATCTTGTGGGTTTATAAATATTCCTCTTGCCTTAGAAATCAACAACAGCCCTTGTAGGGTAGGGCTTTATTCCATAGACATCCTTCAGTCTCGAAAGACTATGGTGTCATGCACTGATTGGTGGTTCTTGAACAGCACCTTGTGTGGTTGGAAAGACCAATTCGGGAATTACAGTCCCTTCCTCACAGTTAGCAGATGTGGTCACTTGCTGGTCTATCTCCCTGACTTCAGACCTTGTTTGTTGTCCTCAGACTTCCTCATTTGTCCCTTTGTCTGTGCCTGTTTGGCAAATGTTGCTGTAAGAAGTTTTGCGAGAGGTTTGAACCCAGGAATCATTTCAAAAGTAGGCTGAGTTTGATCGTCCAGGTGAACGTAGTCCTGAATAGGACTGTTGTCGTTGACAGTGACTGACATTTCGTCGACCTGTGCGGTAGTCATCTTCAGAGTCAAAGTGAGTTGAACACCATTTACAGACGAAACATCAAATCGACTGGGACTCTGTGACATGTATTATGTATTCTACAGACTACTATCAACAACTTACTTTAGAAAGCCAGTTTACTAACTTAGAACAAATGCCACACTGAATCGTAGCCAACAATTACAGGCACCAAACAAACGACTTATTGACGCCGATCAAGCAAAACTAACTATGACAGAGCGACTGGAGATCTGACAATTTGACTAACAATAGACAGCTGTCTAACTGTGACAGTAGACTGATCGAAACGCACCAATTACATTATCAGTCTTCATGGCCAATAACATCACAGCTTAACTGACAGATGACCAATAACATTGTGACGTAATTGACCAATGAGATCAATAACCAGAGTATAGTGCCATCAACTGATGTGATACAACTCACTTTTACTCTGAAGATGACTACCGCACAGGTTGTCGAAATGATGGTCACTGTCAACAACAACAGTTCTATTCAGAACTAGGTTCACCCAGACAATCAAATTCAACCTACTTCTTGAAACGACTCCTGGGTTCAAACCTTTCACAAAACTTCTTAAAGCAACATTTGGCGAAACAAAGTGAAGGCAGGAAACAGTCTAACCTTTAGTCAAATCCATTATTTTGTTGCTTTGGCCTACCTGAGATACAAACTTTTCATGAACCAATTTGAAACTCAATTCATTATGGGAAAGAACACGAGCAGAAAATAACCATTGCAAGAAGCAAGTGTGCCACAATAGGAAATAGTGATGTTTGCTACAGCTCTAATTTTTTATGATCCGCTCTGGTCATAGGCCTTTTAAGGAATAAGAAATTGAACTTGAACATGACACAAGCAAATTAATTTTTACTATGTAGTTCTTGCTCACCTCATCCTTAGATAAATTACCAAGTGAGGTGGATTGAAAAGATGAAAGTAAATTTGATCTTCTTGAATAAATTGCATAACCCAGTTAAAAATCAGTTAAGATCCAACTAAATTTGCATTTTTTAAAAAAGCAGTATGTTTTGATTAGTGTATTGGTCAGGAATAACTTGGTTAAGTTATCTGGTGTTGGCACTGTCTTTTTCTACCCGCAACTAGCCATTAACAGTTACGTTGTAATCAATTGCTTTCCAGGTTTTAATGTGACAGTTCGAACTTCAGGCTCTCAGGAAACCGCCTTGCATAGAAGTGTTCTTTGTTTGAGTTACTCTGACAGACGACATTCTATAGACAAGATTAAACGACTTGTACACTTGCTGAAGGATTGTTTACCCCTGCAAGACAAGTCCATGCAAACGCCTCTTCATGCAGCTTCAGTTAAACTGATCACAGACACCGCCAGGAATGATTATTACTCAGAATTTGTGATGGCTATGGTGGCCAAGGCAATGGAAATCCCTGAAAAGACTGCTGACATATTAAATGCAAAGGATCATCACGGCAACACAGCACTACATTATCTTGCACAAAATGACAACTTTGGCTTTGTTCCTCTTTGCTCCATCATCAATGCTGGTGGTGATATATCAATTCTGAATAAAAAGAAATTGAGGCCTTTAGATTTGGCCACGAATAAAGGTTGCACAAGCATAATAAAGGCCTTGAACACTCATGGGAAAACCTCCAACCCTTCTTGTGATGATAACATTGTCTACTCTGCCGACAGCCCCCCAGCATCACCTGTAAATCAGAGTAGTGAGAATCAGCAGCATGATGTGTTGAATAGTACTGAAGTTGAAAGCCAAGCTGACCGCACCAACTTCAACAACACAGACACCCCATCACTCGAGCATAATGAGGGCAACTCTTCTACCAGCGTTTCTGAGGATGTATCCCTAGGCGAACCCACTTGTGCCGTGAATGAAGTCTCATCAGCCATTGCAGCCGCTAACCCTGACCCCAGCTCAACTGCTGATGATGCAGCTGCAGCTGCTACTGATGTCAATAATGACGTGCCACAAACTGCATGCCCTGAGGTTTCTTGTGAAACCCATGATGATTCACCAGCCACTCTTGATGCACTGTCAGTCAATACAGATGAGGCAGGACCTTCATGTGATGCAAGTGGAAACAACGTGGAAGGGGATTGTAGATGCAGTGCTATAGGTGTGCAGACTCCTCTGTTAAGTCGATACTCGTGTATTGTCCACATCAAACAAGAGCAGCTTTCTCCAGTAAGTAATAATTCACATTCTTCTACATGTTATAGCTATGCAGAACTGCAAATAACAGTCGGTCGATGGACCTTGTCCAACTACAATATTTTAGGCGCAATGTCCAACTTAATCTTTACTGTGGTTGGACATGATGTCATGACAAAATCATAAGATTGCTTTTTTCTGCGACACAATCTTTAAAACCACCATCATCAATCAATGTTGCAGTGAGTGCTCAAAAGTATTTTATAGTCAATTCTATTGAAAAGTTGATTGAGTGGTACTGTGGTGATTTTAAAATCACTACTGCAATTGACTGAGTTAAGTCCTGCAATGTGGATCAAACTCACATGTGGATCATACCCAATGCTAAGGTATATTTGAGTTATTGACCAAGCATGAGGTCAAGATTGCTGGATATCAGAAAGAGAACTTTTTTCCGTCGGACCAATTTAGTGGGAAATCCCGATTGGCCAAGATGGGCCCATCTTGCCCACTCAGGTAGCCAATCACAACACAGGACCTTTTCATTTTGCCCGCTCATGGATTCAGCCATACATGTACTGCTATTTCACAAAACGTCAGAAAAAAAGCAAAAAAAGTCTTCAAGCCAAGACTGCAAGGTCATGTGGGTAGTTCAAGTCTGCCTTTTCTGAGCCAAAAGTTACTCCACTAAGCTAGCCACTGATTTTTTTATCATACTAAACCATTGATAGTTATCACATAATAAAAAGCACAGGTACAAGCCCAGTTTCATCTACAAACACATGCAAGCGCATTGCTTTCAAGCTACAATTGTTTCAGTAGATCTAGAGGTAGTACCTTCGCTTTGTTCAGCTAATTTATTTGTAAGGAAAAACACATTGTCAAATTTTGCAACTTGCATAACTAGGTGGAGAAGGTCTATGGCAAAGTCATTAAGGTTAAGAAAAAATGCAACAAAGAACAAGGCCAATATGCAGCCATCTTGACCGATCAAGCTTGGACAATAAAAGGATTGATATTGTTCTTATTTGGCTTAATGTATGAACGACGCAGGAATTCCCAAGCAGGCAAGGTGGGCCCTTCTTGCCTTGCCTTCTCAGGTAACCCATCAGAACACAGGATTCACTTCATCTTGCCCACTTGCTGATTCAGCAATGTAACAATATATACTTTTGTGTACCTGTAAGCATGCAACCTGAAAACCCTCCTTATGCAGTAAGAAACTTTTAACTCACAGAAAAGTAGAAAAAAAGTTCTACTTTTATGTAGCCTGGGCCAGCTGCTGTATTTTGCTTAGTCTATGATCAGACTTGGTGTGTCACACTGGTGACTATGTTCATTGTATCATTGTAGTACTTCATTACAGTTTTATCGCCCTGCTTTAGGCATAATGCCTGTCAGTTTAGTACATTAATCCCCTTTTATAGCCTGTTTTCAAAGAGGGAGGATACTCTGGATAATTGTTGAAGTACCTTGTACAAACTGTTCTGTATTACATGAACAGAGATGCTAATCGCTGGAGATCTAAAGTCTGGAGATTGTTTCTTTAGTACCATCCAACATCAACCACCTACAAGTTAATGGATGTGGCTCAAGACATTATACAATGTCTTACATCTACAGACCATCAGTCTAGTAGTCTAGTAGAATCTAATTACTGCGAGTCATTATTACTCCAAGGAGTAATAACGGCTCACACTAATCAGATGAAACTCTGGCTAGTATTCTAGAGACATTGATGAAATACAGGAAAAAATTTGCCAGAAACCATACTATGATGAAAAAAGTGTTCAATTTGGGGGAAATGAGCTAATTACAAATTAATTGTGTGAAAGTTAAAAATTCAATTTTATCTGGGATATTTGCTGACCAATTGGGGAGACTAGGAGATTTGTGCCATATTCAGGTGACTCCCTGATAATCTGGGAGCCATGGCTGGTTACATCGTGTTTCTTCTGTGCCACCAATAAATCTGTCTTATCACACAACTGCTGGTACTATCAGGCAAACATTTCCCATATGAGAACAGAAGTCAGCAGCGAAAGATGCTGCCCTCATCTTAACCACCGGCTTACCTACATAGTTGACTAGTTCAACTTCACAGGTATGCCAGAGGTAAAGGGCCTACTTTGTTTCTTGTTGCCACCCGTGTATTTTTTCATATGTAGGGACAGCACCTCAGTCAGTCAGTTGGGTGTATGAGAATCAGACCAGCTAAGCCTATAGCTAGCAGCATCTGAAAGTGGCTTATTACTTGCGGCAGAGCATGTCATTTCTGTATCAGTCCCATAAGTCTTGTTAGAACACACTGCAAACAAACAATGTCTTGGTTATTGCCCCTCCAGTCGGAGATAAGGTCACAGTGAAATCTCAATCAGTCTGGCTTGCTTACGTGGTTGACTTGAGTTCAACTTCACAGGCGTGCCAGGGTTAAATACCTCTGATGTTTCTTGCTGCCGCCACTGTACATGTATGTTCTCAGATACAGAGACAGCAGTCACAGCATCCCAGTCAGTAGCCAGAAAGTAGTTTCTGGGCGTATAACAACTAGGCCCAAGGAGAGCACTGCAAAATACAGAGTAGTACAAAATTGCCATCCTGAGAAGGTGACAGATAAAGCTAAATTTAAATAACACTTCTTTGTGATGTTTCCCACGATAAGGCCCAGCAACTGACACCCAAACTCAAGTCTCAGTTAATAAAAGTCGAGAAGATTAATCGCAGACTTTACAACTGAAGGATACTTTGTTAGAGGATTACTATGTCAGCTTTGTTTTCAAACAGCATTTTCTGTAATTTTATATAAATTACTGACTACATGAAAGACTAAAGAACATCAAGATGATAGAGACTACGCCCTTTTGATGGTGGGGGTAGCCTACGAAGCTAGCGGTTTTTGGTGTTTTTTTTTTCTACAAGGCCTTGAGTGGACATGCCAGTCGTACCGCAGATTAGAACTTGGACTTATGATTCGATTTTTGAATACATGTAAAAAGGAAACAAATTGAAATATTTGTTTTTACTCTCCCCATACCGAATACAGACAGCATAGCCCAAAAATGATTGTTGGACAAATCATTTTTTTTAAGACGTACCCTCTACGGTACATTTAGATTGGTACATTTGGCGTTAAAAAGAAGTTGTTTCATTTTGTGTCAAATGCTTGTGTTACTTTTTGCGTTAAAAAGTTGTTCAATTTGACTTAAAAAGCTGCTATATTACGAGTCCAACGTAACCAACATCGCTGTATTAAAGTTACGCGCGAAGTGTTTTCGTTACCAGGCCTTGAACGTGTATTTCGGTCAAAATGGCAGTCACCCACGAGTAAGTAATGAATATTTATCGGCTAATTTTGCAGTTCATCTCTTGAATATTTGCATTTTGAGCGAAGCTTTGTTTCTTTTCATTAGTGCGTCAGCTAGTTGTGAGTTACAACTTGCACTGAACAAGGACGTGCCCAAATGTACACAGGAATCGAAGGGAACCATAACTATTTGCTCCAATGCTACGTGTCCGTACAGCCAGGCTGTTTTTGTGAAAGTAAGGTTATCTGAGAGTCTTTGACTGTACATGATTGGTATTTCCCTGGAAAATGTACGATATTTATCTTCTTTTACCTTTCGTTAATGGATACTAGAAACCCTTGCCACCCTCGCCTCAGCTGGTTTTGTTTTGATTTGTCAATTCCACGTGCAACTTCATTTCGCGCGTTCGGTAACATTCATCAATCACTTGGACTGCAATTTGATGAGTGATTTATAAACCCTAAAACAGTTAAAGCACCGAAAGTATCATATTCTTGGACTATTTTGACTGCAGGACATAGTGCGAGCCAGGCGAAAGAAAGGATTAATACGAACCGAAAGCCATAAACCGTTGTAAATGAGTGTTTAACCCCCGGCTTAACCCTAACTTAGCCCTAATCCGTAAAGCGGGTGCTTTAATAACCCTAGTCAGTAAAATGAGCGCTTAACCCTAATCAGTGAAAGTCGATCAATACTGCATAATCCTGCAAGTATTCCATCAGCAAAACCTCGGAACTAAGCAGGAAACATTTTTCATGTATTCACAATTTCATAAAACTCTAGTTAGTCTCGCTTGCATAAACAACGAGACTCATAATCTGCAACGCGTTTTTCGCCCCGGTAGGGGGGGGTGGGGCTAGGGTTCCTTATATAGGCTATGTGGGTATGTGCGGCGACAAAGGGTATGTTTCTTTGCAGCTGTTGGTCTGAAAAAGGGTATCAATTTCAACCATTTTGGTCTGAAATAGGGTATGGTTTGTGCACTCTAGTCTTGAATTGGATATGTTTTTTAGAAGAATTAGCTACTTCTTCATCATTTGGCGATAAGACCGTTTCCCTTTTAATGTTTACGCCAACTACCATGTACGTGCCGTAACAGCTTGTCATGCGCTCCAGTCACGCGGCAGGCTCCAGGGCCTCAGGTCTGAAATAGGGTATCAAATTTTTGATCAGGTCTGAAATAGGGTAGGGAAAATCACAGATTTTGGTCTGAAATAGGGTAAGGGTTTCAGGAAGCATGCCACACATCCCCACCCAATTTTTCTGGAAGTACTCCCCTGAGCATTTTTGTCGTTTTTGGGTCAGAAATGGGGGGTCATCATGCCAGGCATTCCTTGTGGACACCGTGGAAACTGGGACTAAGAATCGTTGCGTGATGGAAGCCACGCATGTTTTGCGAAGAAAGCTTAGGAAAGATTAAATTTAGAGCTTTTCGGAAACGTGTCGGTCCATAAATTCTGTCGCTTGAAAGCGTTGATTACTGTGGAGCAAGTGAACACTACTGAGTGGTCGGAAAAAAATAAGAATCTGAAATAGCAAAATTGCGATGGTTGGGTGTTGTTAACTTTCACTGTATGGGATGAGCATGTGATTTATTTTCGTTGATGATTGAAAAGGCGTGCTATGTAAATCACTTTTTCGATATCTGGCAATGATGATCAAGGCCTTTGAATTTTCGTGTATTTATACATGTGTATAGCCTGCGACCGCAGACATATTTCCGGTTGTCGCTAACACGTGTACTAAATCAATTCAGAATCTGAAAGAAACAACTAAAAAGTATCGACATCGAGAAAGTAGGAAGTAAAAAACATTTAGCGAGTAAATCTGTCTCATTTCTTGTAGAATTAATCTCTTCCTCATTTCTCAATCTAATCGTCAAGCAAGCGAGACTGAAGGCCAGTGTAAGCGGCTTCTTGTTTTTCCAGTGGCTCGCTAGCTCGCACATTGTCCGGACCCACGTTGATTCAGGCCTTGTGATAATTAGGGAGAGGGCCCTAAAAAAAATTTTTCAGGGCTGCAGGCTTGTTTTGGTAGAAAAACAACATCGTCCAGGGCACTTCCCACATCAACCACAGGACAATTAAAACAACAAATTGTCATCTGTTTACTTTTCTGTGCATCCCTTGTTAGAATCCTTATCATTAGATCCTAACCCAGTGCTGTCAACTCTCCACGATGATCTCTGACTCCAGAGTTTAGACTGTATCTCCTGGTCTCCAGATTAATCCTGGGTAATCGCCAAAATTTGCCATTTCTTGTAGACTCGACTGTCCAACAATGACGTTTCAAATATTTTGCATTGTGTGAGTTGTTTACTGTTAGCATCAAACATTTCCTCATAAACTCTGGTATGCCACTGTAATAATGTGATTGGTGGGAAGAAAGGAAATCAGGTCAAATGTTGCAGTGCTAACATCTTTTTCACGCATTTTGTGTCATAGCAAAAATTTGTGACTATCGGGGTCAACAAGCCTTTTTTTTTGCGCAAATAATGTTGTGTACCGGAACCGTGTGTTATGGTGTCATCTATCGTCTGTTTCCTATCAATTCTCAATATTAGAAGACGTGGGGGGTTGACAGCCCTGCCTTCATGTGATCTTCTGGAGATGGGTAATGGGGGAGGATACACTAATACTATTACAGTTAGTAAAAGGATAGAAGGAAGGCTGCAATGTGATTAATGCAGACTTATCTTGCCATCCCTCAACAACAACTACAATTAATTTTATCTTAACATATAACTTGTAAACGGCACTGGGACTGTTCTCAGGTATTAGAGATACAATAATTTAATAGTTTGTGTTATAACTGAACATTAATTTTTGTCTGCAAATTTGGCAAATGAAGTTGTATTTGTGTTCATACAGTCGCACCTCCACCATGGCCACACAATGGCCACTTTCTTGTCTTTAAGGTGGCCGTTGTAGAGAGGTTCAAGTGTAGCTACTGCATTTCATCAATAACACTGCTGTTTTTCTTTTTGCAAAGTGTGAAAGGTGTCAACAGGAATCAATGGGGGAGATATCCTCCTCATCAGGTATTATTATTTGCTTTTTTTGGATCAAATATATATTGTTGAATGCTTTGTGGTCCTTAACGAAGTGTGTGCGCCTTCCTTTGGACATTTGAATACAGTAACATCTTTGTCTATTAAGTGAACTATCTTCTATTCAACACCTCTGCAAGATGGATCCTTTTTTAACTGCCACATCCTTGTTCTTCAGTCATTTCTATGAGACAATTTTTTCTCTATGATTCTTATAGCAGTAGACGTTTTATTGAAAAAAGCCAATCCCGTCTTGGGGAAAGTTGACCGTTTGTACATTAAGTAATTAAATAGCAATCCAAAAAAAAAGAACTGAGGTCCAACTATGCTTGCTGGAATGTTAGGAGTGTTTTGATGCAAACCATCCACCGCTGTTTGTTATCTGTTGTACAGAAATGCAATCCATTGCTACAACTGAGATGGCAAACTCTGTCATTACCCTGCTGCGAGGAGCTGGTTTACTGGACAACTTAACTGAGATAGCAGAGAAGAGGAGGATTGAAGATGAACATGTTCTTACAGAGAAGCTGGAGATGGTTAAAGGTATGTTGATATGTCTGACCTACTTGCGGCCCTGTACATAATTGAAGGGTTTCCTGCCATCAGGCATGTTGTAAGCTTTTAATATTAATCAATATGTTGTTTTTGATGAAAGGAGCTAATTTTGTGCACTGTGACTTAAAGTATAGCTTTATATTTTATTTTACTGTTTTTTGCCTTGTTTTTCAAGAAAAAGAAAAAACACAATGTAAAAAGACTCTGTTTTACATCATGATACCATTTGAAAAGCTATTGTGGGTTGTTGAAATTAAGCAATAAAGCATAGTAAGGCATATTACGTATGTTAAAACAATGGTTATGGATGCTATTTTACATGAAATTTGCCTTTATTGTTATCCTCCACGATTGACAAAGACACTACAACGTAAGCAGGATAGTTCTTGTTTCTTATAGGGGGTGTTGACCAATGTATCAGTCGAGTGTTGGTCAACATATCGATTGATTTGTCATTAGAGTGTCAGGCTAGTGTTGGTCCTGTACCGGCAATTGTCAGTTGAGTATCAGTCGAAGATTAACTGATCATCAGTCATTCATCAGTCAACAGTTGGTCGCGATAGTTCCGGTACTGTGTCGGCAATGCATCAGAACCTGTCGGTTGAGTATAGGTAATGTATCAGTGGCGCATCGTGAGTGCTGAGACAAAAATTATATCTTCATGTAAGCAATGCATTGCAAAAAAGCAATTACAGTTTTGTGGCGTGAAATTGAACCAAATTTGGCAAGGAAAAGCCGACTATCCACCTTTCTGGCTCAGGCCAACCTCATCCCCAGGGTCTTCTTGTTTTCCAATATGGCAGCAGCAGGAGAGAAGACCCTGACATATAGCAACCTAAGACGATTGCCGATTGGTGCGTTCCATATGTGGACATTGATTGGGTTACATCTCCAAAAACAAAGGTGGTGACTCGCGGTGGGTTCTTCACCGGTGAATAGTCAAAAAATGGAATGCAGGATGTATTTTGTTTACTTTCATACATTGTCCTATAAATTCAAAGTGCCAAGGAACTCCCACAGAGTTTGGGCTGCCTGTGAAATAATCAGGAAAAATTGATAGTTCATTCTGATTCTTCTTAAATCTTTTTTTTCTGGTGGCCAACTTGATTATCTCATCAACTGATCATAGCTTTTACAGGTTTGAAAAGAATGCTGTATGGTTTTCCTTTTTTTTTGCATAGAAACAAACAATGAGCTAGAAAGCAGCATCCATGAAATAGAAGAAAAGGAATCGATGATAGAAAAATTGTCTGCAGAGCTTGAAGAATTAAAGAAAGAAGTTCAAACAAAAGCTGATGAACGGGAGAGGTTGCTCCGCAAGCGAAAAAGTCTTAACGAGGAGTGTAATTCTCTTCAAAAGAAGCTTCATTATTGTGATAGTCTCTTAAAGTTTGTCCCTAAAGAAAATTTGGACAGTTAAGATCATGGTTAAGTAACGTACATGTACAGGACTATAAATAATTGTGTTCTAGTTGGAACATCTGACTATCCTCCTTATAATTATGAGGGACCAAAGGATGGTTTTTGCCTAAAATTTTGATTTGAAGAATCTTTGAGGGTTTGTAAACAGAAAGGCTTGGGCATAGTCAAACTGTGAAAAGCTAGGACTTTTTTGTGAATATTTTTAAATCTACACTAGTGTTCATTTTTTCAAGTGTAGGTAAACCAGAAGATTTGTACAGTTGAACCTCCATGTGGAACTGCACCCTTCATAAGCTACGACCTCCCACAAGTGACCATCTATCCAAAACACCAAAATTTTCCCAGTCAAATTATTACAGTTAGAAGCTCTCGTAAATGACCACGACCAAATTTTTTTCCGATGACAGGTTTTGAATTTTTCATTGTTTTACTCTCTTGTAAGAGAGTATTAGTATTAAGCGAGGTTTGACTGTATTCACAAATCCATTCCAAAAAAATTGGTTCTTACCTGTTCTAACTTGGAGCTTAAATTGTAATATTTTACGAGAATTTTAAGACATGATTTTAGCTCGTATGGAGGTTATACTCATAAGACAAAAAGATAATGAGAGGTGGTCTGGAATTGCCCTAGATCTGCATTAATTTGCCTCGAACAACTCAGCCAAGATCTAGCTTTCTGTTGGTGTGCCTATAATGGCTGCAATTGTTCAGATCACTGAAGTTTTTCCAGGCGTAAGTTCACATTTCTTTCAGACTGACAAGTGAGATGTTCAACCAGCTCTGTATTTTTGACACATTTGTCATCATCTCTCTGTGCTAGAAGGCACATGAATGCTGTATATGTTTGACACAACACACAAGAAATACATTTCCCCAAGAGAACAGAAGCCCTGGTAAAAAGTTTATTCATGAGTTAGCATTAACCAGCTTTTCAATAACAGTAACTGGGCTTGAGGAAATCAGGGTATGAACTCTTTGTAAAGCAGTGCAGCCTGTCAAGTCTCCTGGATAATTGCCAAAGTTGCTGTTTCTATAGACTTGACTTTCCAACCATAAAATTTCAAATAATTTGCATTATTTGCGCTACTGTGAACATGGAACGTTTCCTCATAAATTCTGGTATGCTAGTGTAATTTAAGCAATAATGTGGCTAAATATGAACTGTTTATGTGCTATACACGTTGATCAGAATCAATGAGCATTTTTGGCACAAACGACGACGTCTATCATTCCTTTCCTATCAATTCTCAATATTTGATGACATGGGGGGGTTGACAGCCCTGTGATGGCTCACTAGTTTTTGCAGCAGTATAATAGCACTGCTTATTACAGTTATTTCTCTTATTTTTTGAAAAATCTGTGTTGAAAACAACAGAATGTTTACAAGTTCACAACTATCAAAGTGAGCAAATAGTTTTTTACTCTAACCTGCAGTTTACATTGGATATGTAATGTGGCTGCCTCTAGTATCTGCCGGGTGGTGTACCGGTTGATCAAGCTCTGGCCAAAATAGTTACAACATTGTTGTTAGCTGATGGATGTAGCCTCTTGCCCTCCCCCCCAATTATATTGTTGGTAGTGAGATATGTTTTAATAGTTAAAAGCTTGTTGTCACAACAGTACTTTTTTTCTTAAAGTGAATTTTTTTTCTGTAAAATAATGTTGACGCTATTTGGACTGTTGTCAAACAAAATTCAGTGATGTACTCGCACATGCGAAGTGTTACTAATCTTCCTTTGCAAACTATATTGGTGTGTGTTGAGGTAATGTTGTGACTGACAAGCTGACACAGTCACATCTCGTGGCATTCTTTTAAAAATGTTGTGACCACTTGACCAGCACTTTATTCATATGCAACAGCCTTATTTAAAGTTCAGACTTAGTTTTGTTCAGAAGATAAGCATCTTTGATAATGGACATTATTTTAATTTACAACTGTTGTTGTTAAGTGCTTGTAAGATTCCAATATATTTTTGTATAATGGTTTTACACATTATTTGGATTACTGTAAAGTTCCGAAAGTAATGACCGTCAAAAGTAGCAAACCTCCGAAGGTAGTGATAAAAATAATGTCACAGGTGTTAGCAAATCCTGAAAGTAGCGATCCCCAGAAAAATAATGACTCTCCGAAAGTAGAGACCTAAAAGCTAATTTCTCTTTTTGCAAAAAATAACAGATATGATGCATATCCTGAACAAAAAGTGTAGCTACTGCATTTCATCAATAACACTGCTGTTTTTCTTTTTGCAAAGTGTGAAAGGTGTCAACAGGAATCAATGGGGGAGATATCCTCCTCATCAGGTATTATTATTTGCTTTTTTTGGATCAAATATATATTGTTGAATGCTTTGTGGTCCTTAACGAAGTGTGTGCGCCTTCCTTTGGACATTTGAATACAGTAACATCTTTGTCTATTAAGTGAACTATCTTCTATTCAACACCTCTGCAAGATGGATCCTTTTTTAACTGCCACATCCTTGTTCTTCAGTCATTTCTATGAGACAATTTTTTCTCTATGATTCTTATAGCAGTAGACGTTTTATTGAAAAAAGCCAATCCCGTCTTGGGGAAAGTTGACCGTTTGTACATTAAGTAATTAAATAGCAATCCAAAAAAAAGAACTGAGGTCCAACTATGCTTGCTGGAATGTTAGGAGTGTTTTGATGCAAACCATCCACCGCTGTTTGTTATCTGTTGTACAGAAATGCAATCCATTGCTACAACTGAGATGGCAAACTCTGTCATTACCCTGCTGCGAGGAGCTGGTTTACTGGACAACTTAACTGAGATAGCAGAGAAGAGGAGGATTGAAGATGAACATGTTCTTACAGAGAAGCTGGAGATGGTTAAAGGTATGTTGATATGTCTGACCTACTTGCGGCCCTGTACATAATTGAAGGGTTTCCTGCCATCAGGCATGTTGTAAGCTTTTAATATTAATCAATATGTTGTTTTTGATGAAAGGAGCTAATTTTGTGCACTGTGACTTAAAGTATAGCTTTATATTTTATTTTACTGTTTTTTGCCTTGTTTTTCAAGAAAAAGAAAAAACACAATGTAAAAAGACTCTGTTTTACATCATGATACCATTTGAAAAGCTATTGTGGGTTGTTGAAATTAAGCAATAAAGCATAGTAAGGCATATTACGTATGTTAAAACAATGGTTATGGATGCTATTTTACATGAAATTTGCCTTTATTGTTATCCTCCACGATTGACAAAGACACTACAACGTAAGCAGGATAGTTCTTGTTTCTTATAGGGGGTGTTGACCAATGTATCAGTCGAGTGTTGGTCAAGATATCGATTGATTTGTCATTAGAGTGTCAGGCTAGTGTTGGTCCTGTACCGGCAATTGTCAGTTGAGTATCAGTCGAAGATTAACTGATCATCAGTCATTCATCAGTTAACAGTTGGTCGCGATAGTTCCGGTACTGTGTCGGCAATGCATCAGAACCTGTCGGTTGAGTATAGGTAATGTATCAGTGGCGCATCGTGAGTGCTGAGACAAAAATTATATCTTCATGTAAGCAATGCACAGCAAAAAAGCAATTACAGTTTTGTGGCGTGAAATTGAACCAAATTTGGCAAGGAAAAGCCGACTATCCACCTTTCTGGCTCAGGCCAACCTCATCCCCAGGGTCTTCTTGTTTTCCAATATGGCAGCAGCAGGAGAGAAGACCCTGACATATAGCAACCTAAGACGATTGCCGATTGGTGCGTTTCATATGTGGACATTGATTGGGTTACATCTCCAAAAACAAAGGTGGTGACTCGCGGTGGGTTCTTCACCGGTGAATAGTCAAAAAATGGAATGCAGGATGTATTTTGTTTACTTTCATACATTGTCCTATAAATTCAAAGTGCCAAGGAACTCCCACAGAGTTTGGGCTAGAAATAGAAGAAAAGGAATCGATGATAGAAAAATTGTCTGCAGAGCTTGAAGAATTAAAGAAAGAAGTTCAAACAAAAGCTGATGAACGGGAGAGGTTGCTCCGCAAGCGAAAAAGTCTTAACGAGGAGTGCAATTCTCTTCAAAAGAAGCTTCATTATTGTGATAGTCTCTTAAAGTTTGTCCCTAAAGAAAATTTGGACAGTTGAGATCATGGTTAAGTAAAGTACATGTACAGGACTATAAATATGTCTGTTCTAGCTGGAACACCTGACTATCCTCCTTATGAGGGACCAAAGGATGTTTTTCGCCTGGAATTTTGATTTGAAGGATCTTTGAGGGTTTGTAAACAGAAAGGCTTGGGCATAGTCAAACTGTGAAAAGCTAGGATTTTTTTGTGAATATTTTTAAATCTTACACTAGGGTTCTTTTTTATCTTCTGGTAGGTAAACCAGAAGATTTGTACAGTCGAACCTCCATGTGGGACCGCACCCTTCATAAGCTACGACCTCCCACAAGTGACCATCTATCCAAAACACCAAAATTTTCCCAGTCAAATTATTACAGTTAGAAGCTCTTGTAAATGACCTCGACGAAATTTTTTTCCGATGACAGGTTTTGAATTTTTCATTGTTTTACTCTCTTGTAAGAGAGTATTAGTATTAAGCGAGGTTTGACTGTATTCACAAATCCATTCCACAAAAATTGGTTCTTACCTGTTCTAACTTGGAGCTTAAATTGTAATATTTTACAAGAATTTTAAGACATGATTTCAGCTCGCATGGAGGTTATACTCATAAGACAAAAAGATAATGAGGGATGGTCTGGAATTGCCCTAGATTTGCATTAATTTGCCTTGAACAACTCAGCCAAGTTCTAGCTTTTTGTTGGTGTGCATATAATGGCTGCAATTGTTCAGATCACTGAAGTTTTTCCAGGCGTAAGTTTTCTATTTCTTTCAGACTGACAAGTGAGATGTTCAACCATCTCTGTATTTTTGACACATTTGTCATCATCTCTCTGTGCCAGAAGGCACATGAATGCTGTATATGTTTGACACAACACACAAGAAAAACATTTCCTCAAGAGAACAGAAGCCCCGGTAAAAAGTTTATTCATGAGTTAGCATTAACCAGCTTTTCAATAACAGTAACTGGGCTTGAGGAAATCAGGGTATGAACTCTTAGTAATGCAGTGCAGCCTGTCAACTCTCTCGGATAATCCAGGAGACTGCAGATTTTGGACCGTATCTCCTGGTCTCCAGATTAGAGTCTGATATCTCCTGGATAATCGCCAAAGTTGCTGTTTCTGTAGACTTGACTTTCCAACCATAAAATTTCAAGTAATTTGCATTGTTTGCGCTACTGTTAACATGAACGTTTCCTCATAAATTCTGGTATGCTACTGTAATTTAAGCAATAATGTGGCTAAATATGAACTGTTTATGTGCTATATACGTTGATCAGAATCAACGAGCATTTTTGGCACAAATGATGTCATTTTTCATGCAATATGATGTCATCTATCATTCCTTCCCTATCAATTCTCAATATTTTGATGACATGGGGGATTGACAGCCCTGTAATGGCTCACTAGTTTTTGCAGCAGTATAATAGGACTGCTTATTACAGTTATTTCTCTTATTTTTTGAAAAATCTGTGTTGAAAACAACAGATTGTTTACAAGTTCACAACTATCAAAGTGAGCAAATAGTTTTTTTACTCTAACCTGCAGTTTACATTGGATATGTAATGTGGCTGCCTCTAGTATCTGCCGGGTGGTGTACCGGTACTTGATATTCACAGCATGGAAAGCTGTGAATGTTGATCAAATTCTGGCCAAAATAGTTACAACATTGTTGTTAGCTAATGGATGTAGCCTCTTGCCCTCCCCCCCCCAATTACTTTGTTGGTAGTGAGATATGTTTTAATAATTAAAAGCTTGTTGTCACAACAGTACTTTTTTTCTTTAAGTGAATTTTTTTTCTGTAAAATAATGTTGACGCTGTTTGGATTGTTGTCAAACAAAATTCAGTGATGTACTCGCACATGTGAAGTGTTACTAATCTTCCTTTGCAAACATTATTGGTGTGTGTTGAGGTAATGTTGTGACTGACAAGCTGACACAGTCACATCTTGTGGCATTCTTTTAAAAATGTTGTGACCACTTGACCAGCACTTTATTCATATGCAACAGCCTTATTTAAAGTTCAGACTTAGTTTGTTCAGAAGATAAGCATCTTTGATAATGGACATTATTTTAATTTACAACTGTTGTTGTTAAGTGCTTGTAGGATTCCAATATATTTTTGTATCATGGTTTTACACATTATTTGGATTACTGTAAAGTTCCGAAAGTAATGACCCTCAAAAGTAGCAAACCTCCGAAGGTAGTGATAAAATGTCACAGGTGTTAGCAAATCCTGAAAGTAGCGATCCCCAGAAAAATAATGACTCTCCGAAAGTAGAGACCTAAAAGCTAATTTCTCTTTTTGCAAAAAATAACAGATATGATGCATATCCTGAACAAATGCCACACTGATCTTAGGTTTATTCATAATGATTATTTTACATTATTTTTATTTTCTATTCATAACTCTTAATTAATTAATTAATTAATTTTGTGATTTTATATATTGAAGTGCCAGGTCGGAGTACATGTTTTAGCCATCCAAAAGTGACAACCCCTCGAATGAAGCGAGCCTCGAAAAGTAGCAATAGCAGAAGGGGGCTAAATCTGAGAGTAATGAGGGTCGTTACTTTCGGAACCTTATTCTTATCTATAATAGTCATTTATAATACTGGTACTTCTATTAATTAAGCGGACAGTTGTAGAGGTTCCATAGGTGTCCTCCAAGTAGTTTCAAAGGTCAATGGACCACATAGACATTTTAANAATGTCACAGGTGTTAGCAAATCCTGAAAGTAGCGATCCCCAGAAAAATAATGACTCTCCGAAAGTAGAGACCTAAAAGCTAATTTCTCTTTTTGCAAAAAATAACAGATATGATGCATATCCTGAACAAATGCCACACTGATCTTAGGTTTATTCATAATGATTATTTTACATTATTTTTATTTTCTATTCATAACTCTTAATTAATTAATTAATTAATTTTGTGATTTTATATATTGAAGTGCCAGGTCGGAGTACATGTTTTAGCCATCCAAAAGTGACAACCCCTCGAATGAAGCGAGCCTCGAAAAGTAGCAATAGCAGAAGGGGGCTAAATCTGAGAGTAATGAGGGTCGTTACTTTCGGAACCTTATTCTTATCTATAATAGTCATTTATAATACTGGTACTTCTATTAATTAAGCGGACAGTTGTAGAGGTTCCATAGGTGTCCTCCAAGTAGTTTCAAAGGTCAATGGACCACATAGACATTTTAATTGTGAATATTGATGTCTGTTAAAATAATACAAATGAAGAAGTTCCTGGAAATAAGTAGCCTGAGAAAACAGCCTACATTTTGTGATGTCACCACTGGTTTCCCTGCAAATGAAATCTGAGTAATGAGCACAGAAATTCAATACTGATGACGCTCCACTACCGAGATCTGGGTGGTGTTTCTGACTGGTAGTGCCAGTGGGAAATTTGCTTCAACCAGTCAGAGGCACTACCCAGTTCTAGGTAGTGACATGTCATCAGTATCAATGGTGTTTCTTTGCTCGTTTCTCAAAGGTCATTTGGCGGTGAAGCCAGTGGTGGCGTCGCAAAATGTCAGCTGTTTTGTCAGGCTAGGATATAAGCCCTAATTAAGAGATTTTTGATATTCTTGAAGATCACTCTTAAAAGATGTCCTTTCTTTCTAGAGTTTGACATTAGTTCAAGAGTCACCAAGGGCCTTATTCAATGCACTTTATGGAGTGTTTTCAAATGACGTCATGGCGGCCATATTGGTGTTCCAAAACAATGAAACGGCATCCATGTTGGTGTCCCAAACGGGTCCTGTGGGATTTGAACTCTTTTCTTATGCAAACACTTTCTTTTGTTCCAATAAATTTGCATAGATGCTGGCCATGTGATTGAAAACACTCTATAGGAGGAATCTAGGATCTTGTGTAAATTGGGAACCCTCAACCAATTATCGGTCATTGGTCAACACTATACTTGGTCGTCGTGTCGACCCACTTATCAGCCGATATATTGATCGACATGTAGACTAACACTCAGTTGAGTGTCGGTCTACATGATCAGGTATCAGTCGATACTAGGTCGGAACACCTATGATATGGCAAGTGTCAAATGTTAGCAGAATATCGGTCGACTGTTGGTGGAATATTGGTTGCAATTGACCATCATACAACATAATTTCAGAACTAAAATGTAAGAACAGACAGTAGGTCAGAGAATGTTCAACAAAGCCACCCACTTAAGAAGTCTGACCACAAATCAGAGTCCATATCCTCTCGAACTTGATCTGTGCCTCCTCAATCAAGTAAGACTGCAAATTTTTTGGTGCAGCATGCATGACATGCGGAGGAATGTTTGAAGAAAAAATTGAGCAGACAGTTTTTTCACATTAGACAGATCAATGCCTTGTCAATGGAAACAACAAAAATTTGAGGACACATTCAGGAAATGTAACTCTAGAAGAAGAGTCAACCAAGTATCATCAAAGTATTGGCGGAATGTGGGTGGCCTATTGATTGATATGTCCACTGACTCTCAGCCGACATATCGGCTAACATGTTGACCAACATGTCCGGTGACATCTTGACTGTTAGTCAACTGAGTGTTGGCCGACATGTCGACCGACCAAGTATATCCACCAGTAGTGTCGACCGATACTTGGCCAAGGGGTGCCCAAACTTCACAAGATCTGCATCCCTTACAAAATTATCATCCTTGTCATTTAGGGAATTTGGCTGTTTTGGACCAAATTGTCCCTTTAACAGGTACTAGCCTTTGACCAAAAACAAAATCAGTTAAAAAATATACCCTTTAGAAGTAGTGAAGAGAAGCTAGAAGATAAACAAGAGAAACTTCTTGTGTAATCATGTGCTCAACTGTAATACTTATGACCTTGTATTGATACAGTGAATGTCATGTAAGGGAATTTTACACTAAAAATTAAAAACTCTGTTTTAAAAGAATCAACATTTTCCCGATATCACCTAATTGCTGTGAGTTTCCCAAACACGGGCTGGGAAGTCTAAGTACAGAGCTACAGAGAGTTTCATGGCAGGCTACAATATTATGATCCATACATGCAGGCACCTATGATAGACAGGCTCCTGGACAAGACGTTTTGTTTACATACAAGTAGTCTTTTCTGTCTCCCGGTTATTTNTAGTGTCGACCGATACTTGGCCAAGGGGTGCCCAAACTTCACAAGATCTGCATCCCTTACAAAATTATCATCCTTGTCATTTAGGGAATTTGGCTGTTTTGGACCAAATTGTCCCTTTAACAGGTACTAGCCTTTGACCAAAAACAAAATCAGTTAAAAAATATACCCTTTAGAAGTAGTGAAGAGAAGCTAGAAGATAAACAAGAGAAACTTCTTGTGTAATCATGTGCTCAACTGTAATACTTATGACCTTGTATTGATACAGTGAATGTCATGTAAGGGAATTTTACACTAAAAATTAAAAACTCTGTTTTAAAAGAATCAACATTTTCCCGATATCACCTAATTGCTGTGAGTTTCCCAAACACGGGCTGGGAAGTCTAAGTACAGAGCTACAGAGAGTTTCATGGCAGGCTACAATATTATGATCCATACATGCAGGCACCTATGATAGACAGGCTCCTGGACAAGACGTTTTGTTTACATACAAGTAGTCTTTTCTGTCTCCCGGTTATTTATAAGAAAACAAACCTTTTTCATTTCTCAACCCTCGTTGGCATGCTTAAACTTACCTAGAATTCCCCATGAAAGTGTATAATACTGTATTTGAAAGGGGTTGCCCCTATGCCACACCCAGGAATCACCTGTTCATATAAAGGGCCTGGGGGCCGTTTGTCGAACGCCCCGATAATTAACGGGCCCGGAGAGCTGTTGTTGTTTACATTCAAGATAGAGGTTTCAATAGTTTTGCAGATCAACATGATAAAGCTATCAGTTAACAAAACAAAATGGACTAGTTTGTCAGCTAGAATCCGCGCTTTTAGATTTTGATGTGAATCTTCAATTTAATTTCGGGATTGAAAAGTTATCGGGACTTTCGAGAAACGAATGGGCCACAGGTCCACTACACAAATCTCCTATTGATATTGCGCCCAATTAAGTTTTTTAGGTGATGTAGTCGCAGGTTTTGCCACTGTCTTCGATAGAAGTTTCCATTCCCTTTCTCTTCCCATTCTCCCCTTAATTTCCCCTATTCCATTCCCATTTCATTCAAAACAATATGGCGGAGGACATGGTCGAGGTTGAACAAATTTCGTCTGCTGACGATCAACAGCCAAAACCTCAACAAAACGAAGTTATTAAGGCTTGCAAAATAACTCCTTACTTTGAGCACTCTTATGAAAAATGTTTTTTGTGTGAACTAGAGCACGATAGCCCGGAATTCGGACCTTATTGTGCGTTGTGTCACGACTTCCTGTATCCAAACGTGTTGCTTCTTCATGAAAGAAAACTAGAAAGTGTGAATTTGGTAACGGAAGATTCTTCGTCGAATTTGTTAGCATCTGAAAGCTGTGAATTGAATATAATTTCTGGAGTTGTGGCTTTAAAAACAGAGGACAGCGGATGCGAAAGTGAAAACGAAAAGACATCGGAGTTGCAAAGAAATTCAACCAACAGCGAGTCCGCTGTTGTACCAGGACACAAGCTTCCTTATTTATCACTTTATGAACGGGTTCGAGCTCCAGATCTTGTAGCACAGCGGCTCGCAAATGAGCTACGTTTAGTTGAAGAGGACTTGTTTGAGACACTGCCACCAGAAAGTGAGTTCAGTTGAAAAAATTTCAAGTTCCCAGTTGTGTGACTTCAATCAATTATTACAGGGCTGACCCAACGAGTGGGCAAAGTGAATCCCATGTTCTGATCGGCTGCCAGATTAATGTCGAGCAATCCTGACCTCATACTTGATGAAATAACCAGACAGGCTAATTAAATATTCTGGCATGCACCCGTAAATTTGTATGTGGGCAAACGTTCATGGGTGAGAAACAGTGTAAAGGTACAGAGAGGATGGGACCCTACCATTTGGATAGGGGATGAGAGGCCCTTAGTGGAGAAGACTAGTTGTTGTGTAAATTCACTAATATCTTAAGTTGTTTCGCCCAATATGAAACAAGTGCTGCGCATATCAGGCCTGCCAGGCCAGGGGTTTTTTGTATGCAGGCATCTGGGTTCTTCTTTATTCAGGTATAGTGCAGTAAAGTATCAGCTATCTAAAACTGTAAAATTGTTGGGTCGCAAAATAGTTAATGAGCCATACATTCTTTGTAATAATTAATTTCCAGTTTTTCAAAGAGATTCTCTGCGACACCATTAATTTTTTGGTGTATCGGAGTCAAATTTTTAGAGACAACCGAAAATATTGTTATTTCAATATTCAGAGAATTTATTTTATTAGCTTCATCAGATATTGACAAGTATATATGTTAATGAGGCCAAAAGTGTAAACAGAGATTCACCTGAAGTTACAGTTGATGCTTTTCCTGGGACCCCCCTCTCAATACCAGCTCTAGTTAGGATCAGCATTGTAAAACTCCCTTTTCAACTGTGCTCTGCATGAAATTCTCATTACAGACAACTAATGGTACAAGACAGGGATGGAAGAACATTTTTTCAACTGGAGGCAGGCTGATTAGTGACTGGGACTCAAGAGGCCAAGGACACTCTCCTCCTAGTCTTTATTATTATTTTTTTGCCAGAAAAAAAAATGGGCGGGGGCAGGGGGCTAATTAACGACTGGCTTCGCCAACCTTGCAAGGCTGCAACCATTTTTTAAATCCCTGGCTGGTCTTTTCATTTAAAAGTTCTCATAACTAACCAACCTGGTCAGAACTTCAATAAAAAAATAAGAATCATCAAAGTCTGGAACATTCTGCCACACCACCATAATCATTGTCTTAATCTTATTTCTTGTTGTGTTGCAGTTCTTCTTATAATATTTTCCTTTCTGGATGACATTTCTCTCTGCATGGTGGGGCAGGTTTGTCAGTGGTGGCATCAACTCGCAGGTGAACAAGATCAGTGGAAAAAGCATGTGCTGACCAGATGGCCAAGTTTGGTTCAGCCTGCCAACAAGCCCAGCACAAGCTGGCAGAATCTCTACATAAAAATGTGAGGATTTTTTTAATGTCTGTGGTTTTGACAAATGGATGTCTGTTATTGAGGGCCAGGTGCTGGAGATTTCCCCAGCTTCTTTCCTTTGAAAATAGAGGGAAAATCAATCTTAGCAAATCAGGTTTGATTTTCCACCTAGTACTCCTTGTATTTTACTCAGAGACTTGAAATCTTTGGGAAAGTCCTGAACGTGAATTTCTTGATAAATGAAGCTTCATTTTGGATGTTTACAGCTAGTGCCATTTGTTTGGCCAGGACTTGAAATGGCTTGCAAGGACGTTTTTTTTTAGTTCTCTGACAAAGCTCATGTTGGTGGAAGTAGGGACTTGCCTGCCCATTACCTGGGTTGGACATGGTATCCATTTACATGTGCAAGTGCAAGAGGCCCTGCCAGGGTAAATTCCGGCAAGCGACATGGCCCAAAAAGTAGCGACAGCACGTAAAATGAAATTGCGACAAGAGACAACGTCCCTCGGCCAAATTGCGACAGTGATGGCAAAGCCGACAATAAGCGACAAGCATTTATAAACACCGACACAAGATGTTGTAAAATTTAGATGGGCGACATGGGCCTCCCCGCCCCCCCCTGGCAGGGCCTCGTGCAAGGCTGTACTGATTTGATTTTTTTTGTCACTTAATCTATTGCATCCACTTATTTTCACGATTTTGAAAGGCAAATTTCCCTCCGTAGATAAGCCCCTCCAAAAATAAGCACTTCAAAAAGGGCCTTTGAAAAATGTAAGTCCCGGGGCTTATTTTCAGAATTTTACTGTATGATCATCAGGAGTGTGGTCCTGAAAGAGGACAACAGACCTTTTCAGCTTGTGTGTTTTGTTTTCCCATTTCAGACCAGGTGATGGTACCCCATAGAACTGTTTCTTTCAAATGTCGTCCTATGCGCATGCATCCATGTGCATGTGTTTGCATAATTTCTAAAAAGGCAAATTTGCTTGAGAACAGATTGGGTAAAAAAGGGATTAGTGTATGGAATTTTTGAGAGCCTTATATTTCCATTTTCCTCAGGTTACAAGGTGTTACATGCAGGAGGTGCTTTGAACAAGGTTGTGTTCAAGTAAGTGATGTAAACAGATTTCGGGCTCTGATAAACAGACTACAAGTGAAAAAAAAAAAGCATTCAAGTGTGTGTGCCATCTGTCCAATTTATTACTATGGCATGATGAGTATTGCATGATGCATTACATTGTGGGGAGTGCTATTAAGGCTGAAACCAGGGGAGCTGATAGCCAATCCGATTTTGAGAATTTTGTTATCATTATGATAATACTTGTATTGTACAAGGAAACAATATATTAAAAGCCCTTTTCTGTAAACAAAATTATCAGTAAATCTCAAAATTCCTTTGCAGCACTCCCCTGAAGATGATATCGTTAACTCATGGCGGAACAAACGATTGAAAAGCGAACTCAAGGGAATGCTTACAGATCCCCCTGAGGGTATCAGGGCACGTCCCCTAGACAGTACTCTCTCATATTGGCAGGCCTCAATCAAGGGACCTCCTGATTGCCCATATGAAGAGGGCCTATTCTTTCTCCATTTGGAAATTCCAAAGAGTTATCCCATGAGACCACCAATTGCCAAATTCATAACAAGAATTTTCCATCCCAATGTGAGTTACCATGGAGATATTGGTATAGATGCGCTAAGACACAACTGGAGTTTAGCACTGACGATACCAAAGGTGTTGGTTAGCATTCGATCACTACTGACAGACCCATACTGCCAGATATCTATGGAACCTAAAATTGCCAGGTTCTGTGAAAGTGACAGAGAAGGCTTTAACACAGTTGCGAGAGAGTGGACAAAAAAATATGCTAAATTGCACCTAACTTCTTGATGTACAAAAATCACTTTAAATTTTATTATATTTTCTGTGAAAAGAAACTGGAATATGAAACAAACCCCATATAGAAGTCACTGGAAATGAAAATCCTAAAAAAAAAAAAAAAAAAAAAAAGAAATGAAAATCCTTATAATGGCACCAGTAGATAACAAATCGAAAATTCCCTTAAAACACAACAAAAAAAACAAAATTAAAAAAACATATATAAAAAAAAAATTTTTTTTTTTTCTTTTACAAAAATAAAAAAAAAATTTTATTAAATTTTAAATTCCTTACTTTAAAAAAAAAAAAAAAAAAACAAGGAAATGAAAATCCTTATAATGGCTGCAGTGATTACCTGTTCGTAAATTCCCATAAAACCTTCAGTCAAATCCCACTCTACAGACACCTGTATACAACAGACAGTTTTGTTTGTCCCAACAAAAATCTCATATAAATATTTTCACAAAAATTAACTTGCTTGATATGGGCACTGTTTAATACGGACAAAGGACACTTCTGTGTCCCATTAATCAAACTCTCCTTGTTCATCAACCCCACTTTATGGACACTGGTTTACCAGTGCACTAGCTGTCTCTTTTCATTCTTACAATTATGGGCTAACAGAAAATGTAGACATTGCACCCTGCTAATAAATTAATGGTGTATTTCTGTGGGTTAATGCTTTAAGCCCCAATATCCACCTACAAATTTTCCAAACTGATCTCTGTACATTTCCTTAAAGAATGTGTTAAGAATTTGATAAAAGATCAAAGCATTTTCTCTTAAATGATCATTTTATTAACTCTCATAACCTAATCTCTTGACAATCTATGGCTAATGTTAGGAGAAAATTGATGTTGGTCACCATTGGGACTTAAAGGGTTAATAGGATTTGGCCATTAATAAACATTAGCAAAAAAACGTGAAATATTTTTTATCAGTCTATCCTGTCCTCTCATGTTTTAGTCTTGTCTATAGCAATTTTAGTCCAAGGATATGATATTAATAAATGATTGTGAGGTTTCTTTAGCGTGATCTTTTTAAAGTTACAATTTTACATTTCCCTGTCAAACTGTCTGCTTTAGCTGATCAGGATAGCGTTATTAACCTTTGAAGAGCTAGGCCCTCATGTAGAAGGCCTACCTCATATCCTGTTTCTTGAGGGTTCTTAATTTGAGTTTGCACAGATTTTTAAACTGTGGCTTGTTTTGACAACAATGGCACAACGCAGTGTAATGACCCTTGTCTGAGCTGCCATTTGGCCATCAGGCAAATATGCATAAAAGGCTATTTGCCTTGAACGTAATTATGCTTGTCCCTTGCGATTGAACGAGACTTTTTTCAAGGTCTGCAACTTTCAAAGTATAGAAACCTGCTATAGGTGAACAAGTCTTGAAAGCAGCCAAGTCACTAACTTGCATAAGTATAAATCACCTTTCTTAAACATAAAATAATGCTGATGGATCCTTCAACCATCTGACTCATTCATTAATGAATGAGTATATTAATGTCATTGTTGGCTATTCGGTTCTTGCGCAAGTTTTTCTGTTCCCCTTCATTCGAGATCGAGGCTTTAAGAACAGATTATAAAGGTTTCCACTGACCTTAGATAAACTAATAGGCTTTTCAATAGGCCTTTTGAAATAGTCGGTCACACGATCAACTTTCTGTAAACACAAAATAATTCACTTTTGGAAAATTTTGTTAGCAGGAACTGGAAGAGCATAAATTTAAATTTTCATTACATATTTTCCTTATGCATTTAAAGGCTCAAATTGCCTGTTATGAATAAAAGGAGATTAAGCCTAATATGCTTAAGGTAATATTTTATAACAGTTTGGTAAACTTGCAAGGATTTGTATGGAAAACCACTCAAGCATGACTGGGTGACAAGGGTTGTTTCTCCCCTACAAATCCTTCTAATTTTCGGCCACCGTTGCAATCACTACTTTTGAGAAAAATGGCTGAAAATTGACAGGTTACCTAATTTTAATATGCTCTTTCAGTTCATGCTAACAACATTTTTCAAAAGCGAACTGTTGTCATGTTTACAGAAAGTTTTGTCATGTGATCAACTAATGCAAAAGCCCTATCATTACAAAAAGCCTCTTGCCAATATTAGTGACAAATGCGACAAACTTGGAAACTTTTCAATAAAAACGGTTCAGAACCTGCTGGTCCAATATTATATTTTCTTTAGATCTTCACTTTTCTTCGTTCATCTTTACTGCCAGACAAGGTGTCTACAGACAGTGGGTTTCCCCTTCACCATTTTCTTCAGATTTGAACAAATGCTAATGTTCCACATGTGTGACTCTCTGGAAAACTGAACCCACCACAATATGGTTTCATGTGTAATTCCCGTAGGCGTATAAGGAGTGACTTAGATTTTGTGTCTTATGTCAAAGACCTGTCCATGCATGCTTTAGCAATTGCAAAGGTAACAAATGGTTTCTCTCCCTTAAAGTGGAATGAAACATGTTAAAGTCTGCTTGTTGGATCTTGGTCAGATATGCCTGGCAGGAAACCTAGAAATCAGCAAAGAGAGACTTCAGTGATGTAGCTGGTAAGACACTTTGGCCTAGAACTTTAACTCATTAAGGCAAACAGTGGACTCAACGGCATCTGAGAAATTGTATCCCCTCTACACCAGTTTTTAAGTATGGGGAGTCAACTCATACTTGTACTCATGAACTGTTTATATGCATCAAATAAGGCTCCTGAAGGAGGACCAAGAGCTTTTTCTCAGGTTACCCATCAATGATTAAAAAAAGCATGTTAGGGGTCATCTCTGCCAGAGAGATGTTTTGCCCTGATGGTTCCATTACAACCCACAGAAGAATAAAGTAAGACGTACAAGACCTGTCGACGTCATACTTATCCTAGCAGACCAGAAGGCCAAGCCATTTGAGGTGTGAAACAAAGGCAGTACCCTCTCAGTTATTTCAAGACCCTAAGTGCTGGTCCAGCTTATGATTTATTGAACTTGGGCCTGCTACTCTGAAGTCTGGTACCCATCAATCAGGTGAATTTGCGCCACAAAATTTTTGTACTTGACTGTAATCACAGCTTCTTTTAACTATAATTATAACAACCTTGCTAAATTTACCAGTAAATTTAACAGATGCTCCATCTCAATGCTAAATACCATCACCAGGTAAGCCTTCAGGGCAAACCAACATTCAAATGCAAGGTAAGACACACTTGAATGCCAATAAGAGCACATGAGAGAAACTTGTGCAGTTAACATTAATTATTGTTAAATATTTAAATTCTGAATCCACACAGTTATCTGGCGGTGTGAAAAACTAACTTGTGGAATATATAAAATTATTAACCAGTTTCGTTAATACAATGTATGTTGTATTCATTTACACATACTTATCTTAAACATACTCATGCACTCAAATCTACACCAAATCATGAACTATTCTGACCAGAAACAAACCAAACTGATATCATCTTACCATGGGTAGAAATACTCTAGTTGCCACTTTTGGGGCCTTTGACATCAATGACTTTGCCTGTGATGCGAAACGTAAACCAAAAAATAAATAGTACAGCTTACAAATTTATAAACCATAAAGTCTAGTTTCAACATAATCGCCCAACTCATTTTCAATTTGTTCTGTCAATCAATATGATTAAACTAACATCTGATGTAATATACATGGAAGAACTGATTCTAAAGAATACAGGCTAACTTCCTGAATAATGGTTTAGATCTCCTTGATCATCTTATCATTTGACGATTCAGACAATAAAATATTATGAGAGAACCACGGGTAGTGACCTTATGTTTGGAAATTTTATATATTTGTCATGAAATTGACCCCTGTAAAGGAGGCTTATCTTCGCATACAGTACAATACAATAATTCATACTTTTTGTAACTGCCACTGGAACAAGTGGTTTTTTCCAGAAGTAATCAAATGGTTCAACGTCGAGAATGCCACCTCCTTTGCACCATCCTCAAGTGAATTAATTTTTGGTCTCAATAATGACAGAAAGAATCAAAGCTCTTCGGCAATTGTCAAAAAGCTCGATTTTACTCTTTTGTTTGCTAAATATTACTTGTACATAAATAAGTTAGCTCCTAAAGATTTATCTTTGGATGAATTTAAGGCTAAAATCAGTTGGAGATATGATTTTGAAAAACCCCCTCCTTCAACTAGTTAGTGAGTATCCATCTTACCGGAATAATCTGTTAATAAGCAGGTCTAACGTTATTGTGCGTATTATTGCAACTGCTGTATTATTCTTTCTCGTCTCTACGTAATTTTGATCCAATCTGTAATATCATTTGTCAATAAACGTAACATTATAATAAAAAAAAAAAGGCTTATCTTCTGTTCAACTAATAAATCAAAGTACATACTGTTGAAAGATGAGAGTGCGCTAAACTGGCCAGATCATAAGTGACATCTTTGACTGCTTGAGTTGTTCTTCCTCTGATGATGTCTTCTTGAGAAACACCATGCTATAAGTAAATTATTAAAATAATTTGTAAAAATCCTTTTTTGAAATTATATAATAATTTAAAATACCGTAAAATTCCGAAAATAAGCCCCAGGGCTTACATTTTTCAAAGGCCCTTTTTGAGGGGTTTATTTTGGAGGGGCTTATGTATGGAGGGAAATTTGCATTTAAAAATCGATTGGGCTAGCTTATAGTTGGAAGGAAATTTACTGTTTTTTCTTTGCTTTACTTTGTATTTGAGGGCAATTTCCAAGTACAAGCCCCTGGGGGGCTTATATTCGGAGGGGCGATTTCACAGAAGGTTTTTGATGTTACTAGTTTAGGAGGCTTAAATTTGGAGGGGCTTATACATGGAGGGGCTTATTTTCGGAATTTTACGGCAATTGGTATTACCTTGTTTCATTGTTACCCTGCACTTTTTGATAAGACAAAAAGGAGTAAATGGTTTCAATGCAGCTGTGTCGGTAGTCTGTTGTGGGCTGTAATCTTTGAGGTTGGTGCAGGAGGTACCTAGTGGCCTAGACATTCTACACCCTTTCAAACAAGACACTCAATGTACAGCCTTCATTATTTAGCCGGTGCCAGGCTCTCAGATAGTGTAGTGCAGACGTATTAAAACGAGCAAAGCGAAAATAAGAGGCACACGACTTGGGAAAGGGGGCGGTGGCGGCGAGAAAAATGTCTCTCCCCAGCCCCCGCGTGTTTCTCACATTTCTTTTTACTGAACGACTTTTCACCACTATCTCGGAGCCTGGAACAGGCTATCAGTATTGCGAAGTGTAGACTGAAGAAGCTAGTTTTGTATTTCAACTTTAAAACCCACTGGCACCAAGAAGTGGAATGTATTTAACTAGCATAGCCTCTGTCTTGTCAGCGATCTGACTTAATTAGATTACAAAACCCAGTTTTTGTGTTGAACTGTCATCTGGTGCTTGTCAGACTGATTGGCCCAAGCAGGTAGTAAATAGATACACAACATTGTTACCTTAATCATTACATCGCTAGGAATGTACACTTTCCCTCTGCTGCCATGGAAAGGCGTGGCCCTCAATAACGTTACAACTCCTATTGCTTTTCCAAGATGGCTTGCAGCATGGTCAGCCTGTACATCTTTTACCCCTACATGGACGTGCCCATTCAAACAAAGTAAAAAGAAGTGTCATATAAATTTGATAAAGTAAACCTTTTGTTTGGAGGTAATGAAGTAGATCCTTAGCTTACAGTTGTTACTGATAATGGCAAACAGTCCATAATGCAGAAATGGAAGAAAAATTAGCTAATGTAGCCAAGAAAATGATGATCAAGTGGGGCATACTAAATTAGCATACTGAAAATTGTTCATTGAAAAATATAAAAGTGGGTTGGTAGATAAACCACCAACATGCTAGCCAGTGGGTTAGTAGACACTCAACCAACATGCTAGCCAGCTGGGTTCGTAGACACTTCACCAACATGCCTGCACATAGGATGGTAGACACCTGATGAACAGGCTAGCCCCTTTGTTTCTAGACACTCTACCAACATACTTCCCAGTCTGTTGGCAGACACTCAATGAACATGATAATAATAAATAAAATAAATGTCTTTATTTTGCCTGTTAAAAAAAAAAAAAAAATTACAGAGAGTGAAGTCTACAAATCATGAAAATCGCACAGATTATTTACAATTATCATGGTATAAAACCTGATAAAACCTTGGATATCTATATTTTTAAATTACTAAGTCGTAATTAAACCTTATTCTATTAAAGTAACAATTCTGAAAATGTTCTGTATTAATCCGTGGTAATTGACTTGCTTGTGATAGCCAGAGGGTTGGTAGATACGCCAACAAAATGCTTGCCAGTGGGTTGCTAGAGACTCCACAAACACGTTAGTCACTCGGTGGATGGGCACACTACCAAAGGAGGGAGTAAGTAAATACCCAAGGAACATACTAGTCAGTGAAGGCCGCCAACATGCGAACGAGTTGGTAGGCACTCTATGAACATGCTAGCTAGTGGGTTCATAAGCACTTCACCGATGATGGTAGACAATCAACCATACCAACAAGCTTGCCTGTTAGACACTCCATGAACATGCTAGCCCTGGGTTGGTAGAGACACCACCATGTTAACCACTGGATTGGTAGACATTCCATGAACATGCTAGCCAGTGGGTTGGTAGAGACACCACCATGCTAGCCACTGGGTTGGTAAACATTCCATGAACATGCTAGCCAGTGGGTAATTGAAGAGGATCATGCATCTTTTGGGCAGTGTCGATTGATGTATTGACCAATATCTCGGTTGACTGTCGATCAACATATCGGCCGCTATGTCAGTCAAGAGCTGGTCAAGTCTCAAGCAATATGTTGGCAGCCCTTGGCCACTACAGTCTATCGGTTGATAGTCAGGTGATAGTCGGCCAATACCTTGCCAGTGGATCACTGATAGACTGCCGACATATCACCGACAGTAGGGACCTTACGAAACTACAACAGCGACAGCAACATCAAAAAGCAATAGGTTTAGTTAGCAAAACAACAACTCTGCATGTACATCACACTCTTTTGTACGTTTCTTTGCCATTCCTGCACAACCAAATTTTAAGTTTTTTGGAGGATGAGAACTGCAAGGCAATAAATTCTACTATCTCTTTCTTGAATTGGGTGCCAGCGTGCAAAGAAAGTCGTGTCTGATAGCCTGGGGCTAGTGGATTTTACTGGCGGGCTAGTGAATTCTGTTCTTAACTTGCCATGAAATCTTTTAAGGAATTCTAATCACAAAAGAAGTGTTATCAACCTTGCTCACCATCGGGCTCGCTAAAATGACTTTTGGGCTAGTACATGCTAACTACAGCTTGCCCGAATGGCAAGCTGCAAAACTGACTTTCTTTGCACCCTGGGTGCGGACCCCTTTTTTCAGCTTCAACACAAATTCCCTTCTTTTAAGTAGCTAGGCGACTTAGGATAATCGTGAAATGATTTAAAAGGATGCAGAATCCATTTTGTAGCGAAGTTTTCATGGACGTCGCTATTGTCAGATCGTAAGGTCCCTACTTGGCCGAGGTAACAGCCGATACCTCGGTCAATTTGTTGGTAGTTACATCCGTTGAGTGGCAGTCTAGTATCAGCCGACTGTTGGTCAAGAGTCGGCCGTGTCTTGGCCGGTACTTGACCACTACAGTCTATCGGTTGATAGTTGGCTGTTGCTTTGCTGATGGATCACCAACAGATCACCAATGTATTACCTACACTTGGTCGATTTTAAGGCCTATACCCATACTCACTTGTTTTATTACCCTCAGATCAGGCTCTATTTTCATTTCACTTTGTAAATAACATTCCGGCAGGCAAGGTGAAACGACACATAAGAGGGAATGTATGAGAACTGCTAAGATTTGGCCTGATCTCAGGTTTTTGTTATATATTAAAAGCGTTTGACATAAAAAGATTCTCAGCAGACATGATTACTATAAATGCTGGTGAGCCAAACTGATATTATGATATGATTATCGAGCAGCTGGTACTGGTGCACTACATAAATTAAGGACAAATTTTTAGAACCAGTATTGTTGGTTATTAATAAATTATTTTAACACTACAGGACAAGCACGATAGAAAATTGCACAGGTTGGAGATGGACATTATATTTCAATAAGTGCTAGAAACTACAGTTTAATACATTGCAAAAGTCTGCAAGGTCATTTAAAAAAAAAACTTAAAATTACACATACCAAGGCATTCTAATATAAGATACAGTACAGAAGACACTGTGTTTTCTCCATGTTCCTCCAAGCTATCTGCTGTATCATATGGTCTGTTGTCAATGCTTTTTTCCTGTTGAAAGACGACAAACTTTTACTTAGATGTTAACTGGCAGCAAGCTTAAGTTGTATATCAGTGTGAAATGCAAACATACTTATAAGGTAAACAAGTGACATAAAAGAGCTAGACCTGCTTCCATGGGGACAACGCAGAAACTATGATAAACATAGGAAGCCACAAGAAGAGTAAAAGAAAGGTGACTGCACACTTTATTAACAAACAGTTGNCAAACTTTTACTTAGATGTTAACTGGCAGCAAGCTTAAGTTGTATATCAGTGTGAAATGCAAACATACTTATAAGGTAAACAAGTGACATAAAAGAGCTAGACCTGCTTCCATGGGGACAACGCAGAAACTGTGATAAACATAGGAAGCCACAAGAAGAGTAAAAGAAAGGTGACTGCACACTTTATTAACAAACAGTTGGCATACACAGCATGCAAAGAAAGTAGTGTCCAATGGCCTGGGACTAAGTGGATTTTGCTATCGGGCTAGTGAATTCTGTTCTTAACTTGCCCGATGGGCCAGTGAAGTTTTGAGAAATTCAAATAATTACATAAGAACTGTGTGATCAATCCTGCTGATCAAAAAGCTTTTGGGGCTAGTTGAAATGAATTTTTAGTACTTTCTAGCTACAGCTTGCCCAAATGGCAAGCTGTAAAACTGACTTTCTTTGCACCCTGATACATGGCCGGGTGTCCATTTCCGCCTGCAAATAGCAGGGGCAGGCCAAGGCGGGCGGAGATACAGGGGTACAGCAGTCAGTGATAAATTTGAATGGTTAATTAAAAATAAATAAATAAATAATTAAAGCTTAAACGTGAATAAATAATGTTTATAAATTTATAAAATTAACCACTAGTAACAGTTACAAGTATATATAACTGCAAAACTGAATTACCGGTAAACGATTCATGTAACTTTTTTGTTTGCTATTTTCTGAAGCAGAATGCCGGCTGTTTCTAGCACAGCAAAGTTGCCAATACTGTCTTAACCTGAGATAAGGCCTAATATATATAGTTCTCCAGCCTGGGAATTCATAGACAGCATTTGCAGCCAGGCTTTTCACCCGAGATCTACTAGGAAAGACCCTTTATCCAGAATTAGACTGTCTGCAATACGGGCTTGGGACTTCACTGCATTGTTGCCAGAACAGCAAGTTAATGTCACTGGCAATGACTATAAACATCTCTCAGATGCTGAAGAACTACCGATGATGATCTACATGAATAATGCAGGTCATCACAAGAAAGTCTGCAGCATCTGAGAACCAAGCAGCTGGCTCCTAACAAGCAGTTTTATCAAGAAGATACCAGCATTATTCTTCTTTAAATAAAAATATCAAGGAAAAACATACCCTTCCATCTATTATTCTTGAGAACCACCTCTTTGTCAGTTTATGTTTACTTGTTGTCTAAAGTAGAATAATATATTATTTGTAGCTTCCAGGGCTGTCATTAAGTTTTGAAGCAACCGTAGCAAATGAAGATTCACCAGTAACATCTCACAAACATTAAAGTGCCAGCTTTAGCTTTCCACTTTGATCACCCGTCCAGTAGATGAGGATAAATAAATGGTAACAATTTAGAGTGATTTCACTTGAACCGTGAAATAGATAGTAAAATACTACACACTATTGAGCACTAATTCTATTGTCTTCTTTTGTTTACCTCTCACTATTTTGCACTATTTGCTAGTATCTATTTCACGGTTCAAGAAAAATCACTCCAAGTCCCAAGAGAGACTAACATCAATTTTCTCCTAACAATACCCATACATCATCAAAAGAAAAGATTGTGAGAACTAATAAAATGATCTAAGAGAACACTTTATTGAGGAAATATATGAAGATAACTCAGGAGGATTTATATGTGGATGTTGGTGCTTACTGTGAAACTCAGAAAACCGTGAACACCTGAAAATTTTCAGGAATGTTGATTGTGCACTGGCCAATCAAAATAAAGTTCAGGACATGCTAGCAAACCTCAAAACCACAAATGAATTACCTTTGCTGTTTGCGATTTAGTTATCTCACGCCTTATTGGCCTGTTTCTCGAAACACAATAACATTCCATAAATATTTTGGGTGTTCATGGTTTTGTGAGTTTCACAGTAAATGGTTAGGGAAAATATTGACTGTATCAATGAGAGTAGTTTGCTTTATAAATAGGCACACCTCAGCTAATTCCAGTGCCACTGGCTGTTGAGGAGGATTCCCCTAAAGTGAACAATTTATAGCATTTAGTTATTTTGTAATACTCTAAAGTTAAACACAAGTTGCTTAATGAAAGGATTTTCCTTTCTTAAATTGATAAAGGTGTTTTCTTAAAGAACAAAACTCACTAGTAAAAAGAGAAAGCTTGGAGGAATTGGAATGTGAAAAAAAAAACTGTACTAGTTCTAACAATTTTTTTTATTAGTATTTTTTCCGAAGTATTATAGTAATTCTACTTCTACTACTTCTTACTATTCAATCAACTACAAGGATCATATGTACTTTCATTATAATCATCTTTGGTTCACAACAATGAACTATTTTAAAATTTATTCAAAATCACTACTCATTTAATTAACTATACTTCTTTAGGCTGTGGTGGAGATCATTATTTGATAAAAGAGTCCCCCGTGCATAATTGTTATCAATAAAATGCCATTTCATTTAACCTGATAGATATTATCCAGTGAGTCTCTCCAGAACTGCAGCCTCATTCTTCCTATGTTAGGATCACTTACAGCATCTTGAATCTTGGGTTCAAATAAAAACACAAAGGGTCAGAGTACACACCATAAAAAGTGCTTTAAAGCTACCTGCAAAGGGACACAACAACTCATTGGGAGTTGTTGCGTCTGTTTGCACGTAGCTAAAAGTTTGACTGGTTTCAAACTTTGTGCAACAACTCCCAACAACATGGCAGCAGGGTGTGCAAACAGACACAACACAAAACATCCAACAATGTTGCGTCCGTTTGCACAGGGCTTAAGGTGGCTTGAGCTGATATTTTGTTATTGGACGGTTTAGTGTGTAGTATTGTGGGATATTTTTACAAGTTACATATTTACAATTTACAATACAAGAGACGAGTAAAAATATCTCACGATACTACACACTAAACTGTCCAATGAGAGATTTATTATTCAACTCGAGAAGTATAAAAATAGGCTTGCCTTATGAGAATGCATGACAGACTAACATGAGTCCAGTTTTCATGCGCTGATTGGTCATAAATGAAATCTGGTCATACTGGTTTACTCTGTGAATCAATTTCTTCCAGTTTTCATTGGCACTTTGAGGTTCTATCTTTCTTTGCTAAGAAAACAGAGATGGAATGACACATAATTGTGAGGCTTATGATGGTCTTTCAGTTACGTAAAAAAGTGACTGCAAGTAGAAAAACTGAGCAGAGCAAATTGCGATGGAAAGACAAATACTCCCCCACAAATTCAAGGAGTTTCAAACTGTAGAGCTACTCGTCAACAAAGGACTTGAAACCTCACCTTTGACGGAAAGTTTCCTCACATTTTTAAAAGAAATAGAGGGGACGACTGTTCAGTTACTCAGCGGGGATTGCATTAATTTTAATGGACGTTGTTTGTTTCACTGATTTTCACCATCACCATCTCTATCACACACCTTAGGTCTGTTTTTGTCTTCTCTGTTGTATCTTGAGTTTACAACGTTTGTATGTTCTGTGTATTTTTAATAAATGTCGACATTATTTTAGACCTGACGTGTTTTGGCTTCTGGGTCCAACAGGGGTGTTCATTGTTTTTCCTAAAGGCGACTTTGCTCTAGAAACTTGGTTTTGTTTAAGCTTACAATTTGGCTCCTATTCCGTTTTTTCTTCAGAAAAACCACGCATTTTCTGCCATGTGTGATGTTTGTAGATTAAAACCGGTCAAACCAGTCTTCTGGAGCACAAATACTGTGAGATATTTGTGCTCGTTTTAAGCATTATTTGCACTCTACTGAGTGAAGTTGCATAATAAATTGTCATACCCACTCTTTATAAACAAGAAGTACAAAGATGCCTCACACAAAGCAGAGAATCGAATGGCAGCCATTTGTGGGGAAGGGCGAACCCCTTCTTCTCAAAATTTGGCAAGAAAAACGCTCCTGGGTTTCGCTACAGCCTGTGTTTAATACTCTCAGCTTCACGACATATGCATACAGATTGTGATACTCGAGTACAAATCAATGGATGAACAACATAAATAGTTACACCCTTCTTTTGCAACTTGGGAGACAAAATATCCAATACTAGCAATGATAGGCTTTAAAATTTAAAATAGCCGTACACAATCTTACCCGAGCCACTTCAATGTTGAAAGCTCTCACGGCAAATACAGATCTCCTAGAACCCTTAGGTAGAAGCAGCACACACAGAAAATTTTCATAGTCGAGGTTCCTGTTGAAACAAACACCCGCAGCCACCCAAGAGGCGTCAGTGCATGAGCGACAAAAATCTCTCTTCACTACTAATTCGCGCAGCTTCTAAAATTACAAAAAGAATATTTGAGGCAAAGAGGAAACAATTTTACCTGACCAGATTAGTGCAATATTGGGTAGAACTTTGAGGAGAACTTTGGGTAGATGTCGTAAGGTTCTTCCCTCGTAAAGAAAACGCTTTCCAGCGAAAGCGTACAAAGTACCTTCCCCCGTTCGAAACGGCCGCCATATTACTAGTTTTCAGGCTTCTCACGTGGAGAGCAGCCTGCGTGACGCGTGACTTTACTTCTGAGTGGCGGTGGGGGA